TTACTTGGACAGTGACCCCAGGGCGCGGAGGTGGGAGGAAAGGGAACTGGGACCAGGAAGGCGGGAAGCCAGTCCAGGGTTGCATTATCAGCATGGCCATTCCTGCAGCGAGTGCCTGACCTCACTGGGACTTCCCTGGAGCTTGGTGCAATACGTCCGAGCACTGTGTGTGCCGTCCGAGCACCGTGTGCCCCGGGAGGAAGGGGAGAGGGACCCGCACTTCCTGCCTGCAGGTGCCTGGGCGCTGAACAGGTACCACGAGAGTCCCGTGCTGCGGGATCAGGGGAGCCTGGACAGGAAGTGACGGGCGCAGGGCACAGGCGGAGGTGAGCTGCTATCGGTGGCCCCTGCACGAAGCAGGGGAAGGCCGTCTGGGACCCACAGCAGTGGCGGGGGAGGGGCGGAGACGGGGAGGCTGCGCAGTGGGGCCCCTGCAGTGCCTGCTCCCGGCAGCCCCACCGCCCCAGGCTGGTCGGACTCTGTGCCGAGTCTGAGACGCTGAAACGGACTTAGGACTGCCGGTCCCTACCCGCAGTCTGAGATTCTGTGACGGGGTCACACGTCAGAGTCCCATCGGCTCAAAACAGTTGCAGCAGTGGGAAGTTCTAGATCAGATTTGCCATCCAGGCCCAGGAAGGTTCCAATTTGTGGTGCAGATGGCTAGAGGCCCCCGATCTCTCTGTCCTCCACCTTCCTCAGTGACAGGGTCCCCAGAGTTTAGCTGAGCAGGCGGACTCCTGAAATAAAGCCTATACTCTGATCCTCTCCCGTGGGTGTGGTCCTGCGACTGTGTTCTAGATGTTCGAGCCAGCGGTGCCCAACCTTTTTGGCACCAGGGACCAGTTTTATGGAAGACAACTTTTCCATGGACTGAGGGTGAGTGGAGGGGTGCAGAGCTCAGGCGGTGATACACAGCCTCTTTCCTAACAGGCCACGAACTGGTACTGGGCTGCAGCCCGGGGGTTGGGGACTGTAGTTCTAGCCCATAAAGCATAAGCTAACACTAGAAATACTCTTAGAAAGTGTTGTTAAAGGGGGATGTGCTCTTCTTTTTCTCATTTTCTCCATTTTGCTGGTTGGAATGTAGATGAGATGGCTGGAGCTCCAACAGCCATCTTGGGTCATACAGTGCTGAGGAGGGTGAAAAAGTAAGATAGGAATGTGGGTCTTAGTAAGTATGAAGCTGACATACCAGCCCCAGGATGATACTTGATTACTATGAAGCAGAAATAAGCTTCTACGTTGCTTCAGTGCCTGTTATTTATTTGGGGTTTTCTCTAATTATCTGTATATGTGCCTATCTCTCTACTCTTGCATCCAAAGAGAATGGTATCATACAGTAGGTGTTGAGTGTGTGTTGAATGAATGAATGCATGATACACCTTCATTCACTGTTAGAGGCAAACTAACAGCCACCCTTCCGGTCCTGTCTGGAATGAAATCCTGAACCGGAGGCCCAGGACCCAGGCACCTAGCTTGGGCCACAACCTGAGCTGCTCGATTCTGCTCCCCCGGAGGCCTGGGGGAAGCCATGGCCGCAGGTGAGCCCTCTAGTGGCACGTGCCCCAGAGACAGTGGCTTCTGCAATGGGCTGCAATGCAGAACAACTTGCAGCTCCTGAACCTGCCACACCCTCTCTTGCCTCCTGGCCTTTGCACAGGCCGGTCTCTCTGCCAGGCACGCTCCTCCCTCTGCCCAGTCAGCCCAGTTCGCTTCCCTGGATCACTTTCCCAGGTTTCAGCAAAGGCCCTTCTTCCTGGGAACCTTTCTTGAAGCCCCACTTCTTGGTAAGTGCTCACCGGAGCTCACGCTTGCTGCATCTAGAAGCCCTTTCCACACCGGACTGCGGCCCCTGGGGGTCAGGGCTGCCCCCCCCCCCCCCCCGTCGCAGAGCCCAGCACAGTGGGCCGGGGGAGGCTCGTCGAGTGGCCTCTGAGCAGCCCGCAGGAGCAGGCTTGGGGCTGGGCAGCCTTCAAAGGGTGGGGGAGCTGAGCGCAGCCACAGGTGCCCGCCCTGCGCCTCCGGCCTCTCCCGGGCCTCATCCATCGTCTGCTCTCCCTCCCCCATGCCCGGCTCCCTCACCAATGCCCCGGGCAGGACTGAGCATTTTCTGCTCTCCCTGACCTGTGACCAAAGCCACAGCAGCTAATTAGCAGCCGGCTGTGTGTGCGACCCCTGCCCTGGCTGGCGCTCCACTCCCGCTCATTCCCATTAATGGCTCAGCAGCCTCCGGCCCCTCTCCCGTCACAGGGTTCAGCGCGAGCCGGAGGGCTTGTGTTGTCCTTCTTTCTGGTTTGCTTCGCTTAGTAATTAATGCTTTCTTCTGGCCATTTTCCTCTCTCCTCCACTGTCCCCGTGTATGACATGGGACTGAGTCCCCCCTACACAGGCTGAGGCAGACGTGACCCCTGCCCTGGGGGCACCTGCAGTCAGGGCTGACACAGTGACACGAAGAGGCAAGGACAGGGCACGGGCATATAGAGGGGGATTGCAGAGAGCACGTGGTCCCATGTCTACCCACTGTGCAGAGGGGAAGACTGAGGCCCAGAGAGGGTGGGCAGGCTGTCCAAGATAATTGTCTTAGCCTAGGCTCCCCCCAAATCAAAGTCTGAAACAAGGTCTCAGACAGAGGTAGTGTATTTTGGGAGGGGACAGAAACAAAGGGCTGGAAGAATGAGACAGGACGGAGAGCCAGCCGAGGCAAGTGTGCTCAGCAAGCTCTCTGCTGCTGTGACAACCCAGGTCCCCTCACTCAGAGCCCTCTGAGTGCTTGAGACATGTCCAATCTGGGAGAAAGGGGAGGCTATTTATCCTTCAGTTCTTGGCCACCGGTGGGCAATGGCTGCCCCGTGCTGTTGGGGCGTTGGCATCCTTGCCAAGGCTGCGCCCTGTCTGTGTGGCCATGCAGGTGGACAGGGGGTGCAGCAGAGGCAAAGTGGCATGCGAGCACACTGTGCATGGCCAATGCCACAGGACGGCTGCAGCGAAAATCTGGGCCGAGGCAGGGCCTGGGCTGAGGCAGGCACACAAGGTATCTGACTCATGACTGACTTGTAACAGGGCAAGAAAGCACAGCTAGGAAGGACTGTGTTTCAGTAACAACCATGAGAATACTCCAATTTCAATGCCCCAAAAGGGAGAGGTTTATTTTTTCTCCTATAATAAGAAACCCAGAGATAGGCAGCTGCTGACACAGGTTTAAGGATGTCAGCACCAAAGTCTGAGACTTTCTCAGTCTTTCCCTTGTGAGTGCAGAATGGCTGCTGCAGCGCCAGCCATCGTGTTTGCATTTCCAGTGGGAAGAAGCTGGAAGCATGCTGAAGTGGGGACAGGGGAAGGATTTTTATCAGGTCACCCAAAGCTGTCCCTAGGAACCCTCCAGCCAACTTCCACGACAACTTATTGGCCAGAATGGGCATAACTCAGCACCTCTGTTAGGTGGGAATGGGGTGGGAATGAGGGTGCCCAGCCAGCACTGTCTGCCCCACAGATGTGGCCGCACTTTCTTCTCCCTTTGTAGAGGAGCTGGCTTCTGCCCCTGGCCCCAGTACACATTTTGTTTCTGCTCCTAAGTCACGGCTGGCCCTGCGTGGCCCTGGTCTTTGGGACCGTTGGGGGTAAATGTTGGGCTTTTCCACGGAGACCAGATGGGTGAGGATGGAGGGAGAAGAGCCATAGCTTTCCCATCTGTCCCTGCGCCTTTCTCTGTCCCGTGAAAGGAGTCCTTGCTGCAGGTGAAGCGAGCACAGTGGGACGTCACCAGTGCCCGAGTGCCAGGCACAAGGAGAGTGATGTGTTTTGACGCATTTGTTCTCTAATGGCCGATGAGCTGTTCCACCCCAGTGACAGGCCCAGAGAAGGCGCCGATGAGAGAAAGGGAGAGCGGAGCCCCCGCGGCTGCCCCTGTCTGTGCAGAGGTTCCTGCCGTCTGCACGTCCCGAGCCAGCCCCCGTCCGTCCCGGGCTTAGTTCAAGTTCACAGTGGCACCGGTCATCCAGGCTCTCTCCAGCCCCCAGGTGGGACTGAGTCGACCCCCTCCCTGCCCTTGTCTGCCCGACTGTCCCGACCGCCCGGCGGGAATGTCTCCTGGTCACCGTCTTAGGGGGGCTCCCTGAAAAGCCAACCCTGAGTCCAGGATTCGAGTGAAGATGGGGGGGCCGAGGAACAGGACGAGGAAGGAAGATCACACGCCGTGGTGTCACCCCAGGCACCCCTGTGAGCACCTGAGACTCAGCCCCACGGGGCACCTTGGGGAGATGTGCGGGGCACACCTCAGAGTTGCCCCTGGGGGACAGGTGCTGGCTATCGGTCGAGGGCTGCTCCAGGGGCTGCTCCGTCCCCAGCACGCCCCACAGAGGCAGGGACAATGGTGCCTCTGCCAGAGAAAGGCCCAGGTGCGGAAACGCAGGCATCGCCAGCTGACCATTAGCCTGCGAGTGGCCAGCACGGCCAAGCCCGGGCATGAGTGCAGAGCTCCCGTGGCGATCACCGAAGACACTCGATGTCCCAGCTGGAGGGCTAGACGGGATCGTGTCGATGGGATGCCATTAGCATTTGGGGGCATGATTTTCCTTGTGGGGGACAATCGCTCTTTGCAGGACGCTGGCATCCCTGGCTCCACCCACTCCATGCCCGCCACACCCCCTGGTCACTGTGACATCAGAAAGTGCCCCCCCACATTCCTAAACACCCCCAGCCCCCGGTTAAGGACGGCTGATCCAACGCAACCCCTTCGTTTTCCAGATGAAGGGCAGTGACTCGTCCAACAGCACACAGCTAGTCCTGAGGGGCAGCCAGGCCTGGAACTCGGGTCCCTTGAGTTGCGATGCCTGCTTGTTCCAAAAGAGATGGGGATGGCCTAGCACTCACTCGTCCGTCCATTCCTTGGTCACAGCGCATGCAAACGTCCTCTCCGAGCCCCAGGCTTAGTCTCCCCTCCCTAGAGTCTAACCGGTGCCCTCCAGCTGGGGCCCAGGCCCATCCCCACGTATGCCGGTCCCACGGGTTGGGGGAGCAGTGGGGCCCTGTTGCCGCTGAGCTCTGCGTGAGGGAGGGCTGGCAGCTGCAAGGTGGCCCGGCACAGGTGTCGCTGGATGGGAACGTCACTCTCCAACAATGCTGCCCCACGCCTCTCCCGCAGCTGACGAAAGGCTGCAGCTGCAGCGATGGCAACAAGGCCCTGAGCACCTAACATGACATGCCGGGGACGCCACCCGCAGCCCTGTCCCTGTGGCTGTCTGCACGCCATCCATCTGCGGCCTGCTCGCGACACCTGCAGCCAGGCTCCCGGCCACTCTCTCCGCGCTCCAGCCCCCGGCTCCTGTGTGACCGGTGGCCCGTTCAGGCCTGGCACGGACTCCTGGCATTGGGCACGGTGTGAGTGGCATGCCAGCCTCAAAAATGATGGAGTGTCCCTGGCCACCACCCCCCAAGGGCCTGGTTGCCCGACTGCCCTCCGGCCAGAACCCACCTGGCTCCCTCCGTGCTCTGCGAAAGGCCGGGAGCAGATGGCGAATTACCGGGGCTGATTTACAGCGACGCGGAGTCAGCCGAGGGTGAGGCGTGCTGCCAACGGGCTCCGCGGGAGGGGCCTGCAGAGCCGGGCTGGTGCGGGGTAGGAATGGGGGACATGAGGAGGGAGGGGGTGCCCCAAGGAGAGAAAGTGGGGAGAAGAGGGAGGAAAAGCCCAGGGCCACGGGAGGCAGGAAGCGAAGGCTGGGGGAAGAGAGGGGGAGGAAAGCAGTACGGCCGTCCCCTGAGCCCCCGCCATATGCCAGGTGCTTTCCGGGGCTTTGTCCAATACGATAGCCACTGGCTACATGTGGCATTTTAAATTAAGTTAAAATTAATTATAACTCTAATTACACATGCAGTCCCTCAGCCATGGAGTCGAGTTTCAAGTGCTCAATGGTCACATGTGGCTACTGGTTACTGCGCTAGACAGGGCAGACGGAGAAGCTTCACGTCACCCCGGAACATTCTACCCGAGGGGCTGGTGGAGAGAAGGCGGGTTTTAAGTGACAAGAGCTGATACCTCCGTGTTGCTGACGTGCAGACGCACCCTTGCCTGCGTGCCTCCCTCTGCGTGCACAGACCATGCGCTGCTCCAAGAACGCTACGTGCATGGATTCAGTATAGCCACCCTGGAGGGCAGGATTTCATGTCTGAGATCAGCAAACGTTTTCTGTGCAGAACCAGACGGTGAGTACTTCGGGTGTGGCTATTTTCGGCTCTGTGGGCCATACAGTCTCCGTCACCCCCACCCAACCCTGCCGTCGTGGCGTGAAAGTGGCCGCGGACCACACAGAAACGGACGGGCCCGGCCGTGTTTCAGTAAATGTTTATGGGCGCGATAATGTTTAATTTCGTGTCATTTTCGCAGGTCCCAAAATATTCTTCGATTTTTTTTTTCCAACCATTTAAAAATGTAAAAACCGTTCTTACGGGCTGAACGAAAACAGAGAGCGGGCCGGCCCCCGATTCGCATCATCCCATTTCACAGATGTGGAAAGCGAGGCACAGGGAGACCACAGGGGCTGTCTGGGGTCCCACAGCCACAGACGGCAGAGCTGAGACTTGCTTCCGCCTCTCCCCACGTCAGCGGCGGTGCGGCTGCAGGCAGTGGTCGTTGCTGTCAAGGCACCACGAGGGTGATAGGGCAGCAACCAGGGGAGAGGCCGGCGTCTAGATCAGATGAACAAGAGGACCTTACCAAGGATTCCTCTTGGCCTGAGACAGCTGAGGAGAAGGACGCAGCCGTGGGATGACCCGGAGGTGCACCCGGGCAGAGGGACGTGCAATGCCGGCTGCGGTGGCGCGAGCCAGTGCGCAGGAGCGGTGGGGGAGGGGCGGACCGGCAGGGCCTGGGTGTGGCGACAGGCACTGTTTCAAATGCAAAGGGTAGTCACTGGGCATTTTAGCAGGAAAACGACTTGTAAGATTCACGAGTATAACCACAGACCACCCTCGGTGCATAAGAGAGAGGCAGGAAGCCAGTTAGAACGCCGCTGTCGCCCACACAGGCGATGGCGGTGGCTGAGAGGGGCAGAGGCCGGGGAGACACAGGGATGGGGATGGACTCGGCTGTCTTTTGAATTGGGGCCAACAGGATTTATCGTTCCCGTAGATGCGGGAGGTTAGGGAGAGGGAAACGTGGAGTGACTGGTTCTGTGTGCTTGTGCGATGGGTGGGATGTTCAGCCACACGGAGGCTGGGAGGGCAGGGAGGGGGACCGGTCTGGGAGAGGAAAGCAAGATTTCTGCCCTGAAACACGCTGAGCTCGAGATGCCATTGGACATCCAAGCAGTGACAGCCAAGGGCGTTTGATACTGGAATCTCGAGCCCAGCGAAGAGGCCAGGGCAGGATTCACGGATGTGGGGAGCGGCAGCAGGTTAGAGCCGTGGGTCGGAGGGAAAAGGAGCAGGCACTGAGGGGAGGGAGTTGCACTAGCGCAAGGTCACGGGGATGTGGGGTCACGGGAGTGTGAGGTCACAGGACTGTGAAGTCACGGGGCTGAGAGAGAAGGGAGAGTTTGGAAGATTTCAGAGAACTTCAGAGCAGGTCAAGGTGCAGCAAGGACAGGGAGGTGAGGAGAGCTGGCCAGCGTGGAATTCAGCTACGTGGCGCGAGCAGCGCCCTGCACACAGCAGCTTCCGTAGGTGGGGGAGCAGCAGCCTCAGGGGCGTCAGCTCCTGGGTGCGGTGGGGTGGGCGCAGGACGGGGCGAGGGGCAGCTCCGGTGCAGCCCAGGAAGGGTGAGGCTGCAGGCATTCGGCACAGGCTGGGTCGGGACAGAGGCCAGCCCTATGACGCCTGCGGGAGGAGCTCCGCATTCCCAGAGCTGCCTGAGACGTGACAGGCCTTCCTGAAACCTCCAGTGCACCTTGCGTCTTGCGTCCTGTTCCCAAGGCCACCGGGGCTGCAGACACTGGGCCCTCTGCAGAGCCTGAGGGGTGCCTGGCCAGCACTGGTCTCTCGCGCCCTTTGCATCCTCCCTGCTCACCAGGGCTGCTCGGGCCACGTCCTAAAGGGTGGGGCGCGCTTTCGCCTGTGAGGCGGGTGTTGGTCAGCTGGGCTGGACTTGCCTGATGTTCCAGGCTGTCTGTCGTCCTCAGGTGGGGGGGACACTCCCTCCCCAGAGGCCAGGTCATAGTGGAGCGTGTCCAAGGCTTCCGGTCACTGCAACCACCAGAAGGAAGAGCTAGCGCCACTGCTTCCCTCTTGACGAGGTCACAAGGTCAAGGGCAGGGGTCCACAGGTGAGTCTCCCCGTTCTAAACGCTTTGCAGTAGAATGGCTGGAGTGGGGGTCAGCAGGTCTGTCTGCCAAGGGCCACATGGCAAACATTTTAGGTCTTGTGGGCCAGACGGTCCCTGTCACAACTTTCTCAATTCTTCCGTTGTAGCATGAAAGCAGCCACAGACACAACACAGAACAGTATTTACAAAATCATGCAGTGGGCTGGATTTGGCCCAGGAGCTATCAAAGGACAGGGGCAGGAGCTGTCTTAAGAGGAGAGGGATGGGTGTGGTCTCCAGCAGAGAGGACGAGAAGGATGTCACAATGCCAGCCAGCCACTGGCCAAAGCCTTCTGAAGGTGCTGGCCGTGAGGGCAGTCTGATGCTAATTTCTGAGCTTAGCTGATTTTTGGCAGGAGGTGGAGGGTCCAACCTGCAGCTACGGGAGAGACGCAGAGCAGGCAGGCTGGGCACGTGCACCTGTGTGTTGGGGAGGGGGCCAGTGGGAGAGGATGGAGGAGACATAGGATGTCCCACGGGGCCACCTCCCCTGTGAGCCTGCGGCAAGTCTGCGTTTTGTGTGATTCAAGGCACTGCAGCCTTCCTGTATAGGACCAAGGTCTTCGCGCACATTACCCCCACCTTCGCCCACATCCCACTGAAACAGTAGTGAGAAGTGCCAGTGGGAGTATCTGGAGAACCTGCTGAGGACAGCAGGGAGCCACCCACGGGCCAGAGGTTTGGATGTGGTCAGGTCGGTGGGGAGGAGCCACCACCCAAAACTCACCCGGACTTGGGGAGGTGGCAGGGGCACAGAGGATTCCTGCTCCCCTTTACAGTCTACAAATGTCGGGCAGCCGTGGAAGGTGAGTCTAAGTCAGCCCGCTGCGCCAGTCAGCGGCTCCCAGCCCTGTGCAGGTAGAGTGACCGGCAGGGGCCGTATTGACCCCCGGGTGAAGAGCAGGAACGTGCTCTCTGCAGAACTGATTACCCGAGGAAGGCGAGGTCGGCGGGTGGCTGCGAGGCTGGCAACGCCACCGCCTCCTGCATTTGCCAGCGCGCCTCTCCCCGTCCCGGCCTTGCGCACGCCGCAGAGCTCATGGGAGCCGCTTGCTCACAGGACATCAGGGGACACGTGCTTCTCGTTTTACCTCTTTCCACCCTCCTGTATTGTTTTACAGGCAAGTATTACGTTTACAAACATTTTTAAGATAAGCAAAGATTAAGATGAAATACACCACATTTAACAAAATGTTAGTATTTTATAACGTAGAAGGAGTTTTCATAAATAATGATAAAGGCAACTCTGCAGAAAATGGCCAAGGAATATAAACAAATTACAGAAAAACAATGGCTAATATGTGCACTAGGACCAGGGGAAAACACAGAATTTACCCCCAGATAGTTCAAATGATGGCAATTAAATAAAGGGTCACCTAACAGAGGGATGGGCAGGGTTGAGGAAAGGGGCAATGGACAATGAAGCGGCCAGAGGCTGGCAGCAGCAGGAAGCTGTCACCACTCCTAGGCTAAACCGGCAGTGGGAGCAAAGTGTCACCTGAGTCCCGAAGAAGTGGAACACGGAGGAAGGGCTGCCCTGTACGGGCTTTAGTTTTAAAATGATGCCAACACCAGAGTCTCGGGGTTGGAGCAGGGTGGAATACCCCGACCCCTCCCTCTTCTTTCCCCCCCTCCAAACTCCTGTCCCAGCGTTCCAGAAGTCCATTCCATAGACAAACTCACACATATCCACAAAATGTGAGTAGAAACATTTTCACTGCAGCATTATTTATAATGGAAAAAACCAGAAACAATATAAATGTCCAATAATAGGGATGATGATGTAGATAAAGATTATGATGGCCAATACTTGTGTGCGTGTGTGTGAGTGTGTGTGCACACTTAGTATGTGTCAGGACTGAGTCTGAGCAGTTTGCATGTATCATCCCATTTAATCTCACAATAATCCCATGTGGCAGGCACTATTATTCCCATTTTAGATGAGTAAATTGAACATCAGTAGGAGTAGAGTGAAACTATAACACAGGCATACTATGGAACACTGTGCAGTTATTTTTAAAAAAAGGACATAGGCCCAGGTAAATGAAGCTGGAAAGAAACACATTAAGAAAAAAGGTCATAGAAATATTTGTATAGTTTGATCCCTTTTATATTTTTAAATCAGCAATTCTGTATGTGTATATAGAAAAAAGGTCGGGAAGGACACAGCCAATAATGATGGTCACCTGTTGGGGACACTGGGACCTGGAGAGTGGCATTTTTATTTTACATATAAGCAGCATGTGCCCCCCAAAAAAAAATATATATATAGAGAGAGAGAGAGATTGAGAGAGAGAGAGGATAAACTGAGAAGGTGAGAGCAAACAGAAGACAAGAACCAGCCCACTGTTGAATCTGGAATTTCAGGCGGGCAGGCTCCAGCCCAGCGCTGCGGTGTGGGATGATACATGCAAATTGCTCAGACTCAGTCCTGACACATACTAAGTGTGCACACACACTCACACACACGCACACAAGTATTGGCCATCATAATCTTTATCTACATCATCATCCCTATTATGGGACATTTATATTGTTTCCGGTTTCTTCCATTATAAATAATGCTGCAGTGAAAATGTTTCTACTCACATTTTGTGGCTATGTGTGAGTTTGTCTATGGAATGGACTTCTGGAATGCTGGGACAGGAGTTTGGAGGGAGGAAAAGAAGAGAGAGGGGTCGGGGTATTCCACTCTGCTCCAACCCCGAGACTCTGGTGTTGGCATCATTTTAAAACTAAAGCCCGTACAGGGCAGCCTTTCCTCCGTGTTCCACTTCTTCGGGACTCAGGTGACACTTTGCTCCCACTGCCGGTTTAGCCTAGGAGTGGTGACAGCTTCCTGCTGCTGCCAGCCTCTGGCCGCTTCATTGTCCATTGCCCCTTTCCTCAACCCTGCCCATCCCTCTGTTAGGTGACCCTTTATTTAATTGCCATCATTTGAACTATCTGGGGGTAAATTCTGTGTTTTCCCCTGGTCCTAGTGCACATATTAGCCATTGTTTTTCTGTAATTTGTTTATATTCCTTGGCCATTTCCTGGGTGCAGTGCTTCTCCAAGCTCAGCTCCTCCACCTACGAAGGGGGAACAGGAATCACGGAACCAACGCCGAAGCTGGCACGAGGAGCGGGCAGAGCACGCATGTGAGCGGCGCAGCCCAGGGGGAGCCCTGCACACGGGCCGCGGGGCTTGCTCAGCACGTGGTGCTCGTGCTTCCAGCCTCTGGGGCCTGGAGAAGCGGGTGAGGGGCCGGAGGGCTGGCTCTGGCCTTTGGGCTTCCGTGGCGCCCACAGGCACCCACAGCTCACACCAGCACTGGGGCGCACCCCCCCTCGCGGTCAGCGTGTCCTCTCGGTCAGCCCCTCGTCTGGGCAGGACACGGCCTGGAGCATCACGTCCGAGCATCTGCAGCCCGTCACCTGATGGGAGCGAAAAGTAGAGGCCGCAGTCACCCGGTAGGAAAGTGAGCTGGGGCATCGCACATGTGCACCTCTTCCACTCTCTGGGACTAGATACTAGCGGTTTACAAAGCGTTGCCCAGCCACTCCCCGAGGGGCCTTTTTGACATAAAGCTCATTTGCAATTCACACACTGAGGCCGATAGGGAACTAGGTGCTGCAAGAGAGGAAGAGCTGGGTCTACTCCCCAGTAAGCTCATCCACAGGGCTGTCTTCACCTAGTGCTGACATGGAGCTGAACTGACAGGCCTGAGGACCGTATTGGTAAAACCAACAGTCTGGAACGATAAATACCAAACTTGTAGTTAACTCTAGAGTACGTGCACGAGGTCTGTCCGGAAAGTGCCCAGCCGTTGTTAATGTAGCCGGAACCGCTACATGGCTGGGTACTTTCCGGACAGCCCTCGTAGGTGTCTGGGGCTGAGAAGGACGTGTGTTGAGAGGAGGTAAGGGGGAAGATATTCATATTCTACTCGCAGTGTTTGTGCAGGGCTGACTCTGTGGTGATGAAGATGTGTTCAGATATTTCGTGTGAAAAAATATATAAAATAAGAAAAAGGAGAAATGCTCAGGATTGTTCTGTGGAACAAACAAGATCACAGATAAAAGAAGTGCCTGGCCTTTACTGCACATGACAGTAGTCGCCGCTGATTCAGCCCTGATTAGGTGCCAGGCGCTGTTAGAATTATTATGCTATTGAGTTACAGGGATGACTTCATAAGTAAGTATGGTTCGCCCCATTTGCAGAGGAGGAAAGTGAGGGCAAGGTAGAACTGCACCCCAGATAGTCAGCCCATGCATTTACAAGTTAGTATGACTTCACAGAGCAATGGGAAATGGATATTCTTTTCCCAGAGAGCCCTCTCTACCTAATCCTCGGGGAGAACCCTGAACCATCTGTTCACATGTTTTCGTGGAGCAAAATGCCAGGAAAAATAGAAACCCTGCGATTCCCCCTTGCTGGAATGGGTCAGGGAAGATAAGCAACCTTCGAGATGGGGCTGTCAGGGGAGCAAGCTGGGCTTGACCCTTTTCAGGAAGACCCCAGATGGAGGGTCTTGGTGGTTTTACCACCAGGGACTGTCCTGGGGCCAGTGCCCAGGGGTAACAGGGTCAGTGGTCTGAGCAGGTCCCCCTGTCCCCAGAAGCCTTGTCAGGCGGCAGGCCGCAGGCTCGCAGCTGCCCTCTCCCAGTGCTGAGACGAATTGCTGGAAGCGCCTGCAGGGCATAAACCACAGGCGGGCGGCTGTCCAAATCCAGCGTGGCGGTGCTGCACTGGAGCTGGGCTCTCACCTCAGCTCCTTCTCTGCTTCCTGCTTCCCCTCCGGCTTTCCCCGTGCTAAAGGCAGAAGGATGCCTCAAAGTCCCTGAATCATGGCAAGGACAAGTCTGGCCTGGAGCTGCTCCCCTGGTGGCCATGCCAACCCCAGCCCCTGGGTCCCATCCTGGGGCCACCTTTGCCCCTCCCTGGCTCAGCCTCCCTGGAGGTTCCTCCGGGCTCTTTCCCCTTCCTCCCGCCCCCAGGCGATGGGGGAGAGCCAAAGACCTCCTCACAGTCAAGTTGACAACCCAATTACATGGGACTCCGTGGCTGCAGACAGCCCGAGGTTTATGCTCAGACTCCTTGACAGGAGTCTAGGGGTGGGAGCTTTGGATTCCAGAGTCTTCTGGATTCACCCGCATACACTCAGCCCCTGGACCGGGTTAGAGTCACTACTCCACCTTGTGGCCATTCTTACAACGGCACCCTGGGAAAGCCAATCCGGTGATGCGCTTGGCCCCAGGGATAAGCCTCGGGGTGGGGACGGTTAGAGATGTTGTTAATGATGATGATGACCGTGACAGTGGGCCAGTGAGTCTGTAGTCACTTGCCTCTTTCCACTTTCTGCTCACATCACCTTATTTAAAATGACACGACCCACCACTCTACCCCACGACGCTACTTTATTTCTTGCACACTTATCATCTAAAATGTCATTGATGTGTTTGTTTGTTGTTAGTGTAAGCCCCATGTTTTATTCACTGACTTATCCTCTGTGGCCAAGAGTGCCTGGCACATAGTAGGTGCTCAGTGAACAGCTGTGGAACGAAGGCATCACTACATGGCTCCCCTACTGCCCCTGGCAAGGCCACCCATCCCTCCCCCACAAACCAGCTTGCTCCTGGTGCTGGGAACCGTGCCCAGGCGGGTCTAGGAGGTGTGAGGAGCCCCAGGCCCAAATCCATGGGCTCAGCTCAGCCTTTATGCTGGTCTTGACCTTTGTGGGCAAGCTTTTGCCTTGGTTCTCACCTTTAGTATCTGTGTCCCTTAGTGTCATCCCCTGCATCTGTGTCCCTGCCTAAACCACAGGGTCTGCTACTCTTTGCCCACACATCAGGGGCCAGGCCCTGGGCTGGGCGTTTTATGTACGCTACCTCTAATCTGCACAGCACCCTCCACGGTGGGCATTGTCACCCCCAGTTTTCAGGTGAGAAATGAGTTCAGAGAGGTTTAGCAATTTTGCAAGGTGATTTATGCCACTCTGGCATTTTCCAGAGACTGTCACAATGATGCTAATGAGTGAAACAAATAAAGAAAAATGTATAGGAAACAAAGTTTCCACAGTGAGAAATTTTAGAAAACACGGGGTTAAACAAAACCGAATTCTTTATAGCAGAACTTCTTAGAATCTTTAAAATGCTCATGTACATCGCAACCCTCTAAGTGGGGAGGAATATATATGTGGAACAGAATTCCCCAAACTTATCTTACTTTGCGACCACTTTTTCAAGGAACGTCTTGCAGGACACGGCTTGAACAACCAAGCCCGCCACCCTCAAAGCATCAAGATGGGTTTCAGTCGCTCTGACTGGGAATACCCCGGGGGTCAATGTCAGGACACTCTTATATTTGTCTCATTTGATCTTCACAACGGCTCTAGGAAGGAGGAACCCTTATCCTCATTTTCCAGATAGGGAAACGTAGGCTCTGAGAACTAAAGTGCAATTTGCTCGAAGCAGCCCACAAATATTTGAAGCCAGCAGAGTGGGACCCGGCAGCGGGCGCTCTCTCGAACGACGAGTGTGAAGAGGTGATGACAGTGCACCAGGAGCCGGGAGGCAGACACGGGGCCCCATGTCTGGAGCTGGGCCGGGAGCACGTGGGACTGTGCCTGTTCTCGGAGGAGCGCCCCAGCCCTGACAGACACACGCTGCCACCGCACCCTCCACGCTGCTCAGCCCTGTTCTCCGGATGCTCCTGCAGTTTTAATTAAACGCTGCATATGGCGGCTCACGGAGGAGAAAACAGTTGTTCTGTGTCTAAGTAGCCTCAGGACTCCTCACTATTTTTACTGCTCCAACAACATTGCAGAGAAATTTTATAGTGTTTGAACGTGGCGCTGCCTCCACGCCCGGCAGGACCTCCGGGCCAGGGTGGGGAGGCCAGTAGCTCTGCTCCAAGGACACTGTCCTGGCTTCACCAAGGGTTCCCCATCAGATCCATCCTCCCTGCCCTCTTCGGACCCCCTCCCGCCCTGGACGGGGCTCAGCCTGTCCATGCTGATTTCACGCCCCCGCTGACAGGTGGTAGGAGGGCTTCGGAGGGTTAGCCCACGTGCCCCAGCTCTCATTGCTGGAAGGTTGCCTTACTTCTAGCTCCGATGCACGCCATTTGGAAACCTGGTTCCCTGGCCAGGCGTGGTGGCTCACACCTGTAATTCTAGCACTCTGGGAGGCCAAGGTGGGCGGATTGCTGGAGGTCAGGAGTTCGAAACCAGCGTGAGCAAGAGCAAGACCCCGTCTCTACTATAAAATAGA